GGCAAAAAAAAAACAGAATTTCATTGAACGATCAGACCGTTTTCGGGGAAAAAAATCGAAAAATTCAGAGCATACGACCTAGTGATTTTTGTACTGAAGAAGAGTGGTGGATGTGCTTGCTTTTTTTTTTGTTTGAGCGGCAATTGGTTTTTGAATCCCACTATTAAGATTGCCGAGATCCGCCAAAAAAAAAACACGGTTTGAAGATCAAATGTTGCTGTTTGTACTAAGATCGTCCCAGGTGCCACCTGCAACTATGCCAGCCCAATCTAACATGAGCTGCATGTCCCGTAGCTAATACCTATTGCCTGTATTATTCCCAGAATTCACCAATATCACTTACCGTTATGCATCATTACGTCACTTGTCAACAGAACGAATAGCAAGCTCCAACCACTGAATTTAACTTTCTTACGGGTTCACATTGGCATTTGCGTCACTCAGCTGATGGGGAGTCTGCTTATATTAGCCACTAAGAAGCAAACTTATTTCGCTCCCATGACTATCTTCGATATTAGCCAGCGTTCGCTCTTCGGCTTTCGTCAGTGGTACATCTGTGCACAGTGGTGCTGGAGAGGCAGTAGGCAAAGTCTTTCCGGTTCGCTACTTTAAAGGCATTGAGAGTGCTGTGAGATTTACGTTTACAGCAACTTTTCGAATTCTAGGTTCTCGGTGAAGTTTCTGGTGCGGTCTTGTCAAGGAAGACGGAATTGTCAACACCTCACAAGTGACTACCATATGCCTGCAATTTAGCCACGTGCATACTGCGGCTAACAACATTCGTCGTGCTGTTTTGCTTTCTTTTCGGCTAATTTTTGTGGCTTTGTCAACGCTCCAGAAAAATGAATTTTACATTGCTGGTTTCATCCGTAGTTTTTTTCATGCTTATGAGGATCCTGAAGCGACCTTTCAGACGTGGAACTGGAGAAAAGAAGGGAAAAAGGGGAAAAGCGAGGGATGGGAGTACTCGGCTGAGTATCAATCGATTATCAGCAATCAAAATCAGCTTGGCGGAGGGCAGAGACAGAGGGAGAGGACACGTCATCGTACAACGGCCGAATGTCGGCCGGACAGTGGCGACGTACGATAAATTCGCGGCGAGGGAAAAGTCGGGGCAGATGTTAGGTGCATGCGCAGGCGCAGGACGGGTCCGCACTTTGTGATGCTTGTGATGGACATACGGCGACGCTGCTGCCTCTCTGTGCATGTGTGGTTACGCCTCTGGAGGACACCTGCTGACCCGTCTGCTGGCGCTGCCTCGTGCGCGACGCACGGCGCCGGTTTGCAACGTTCTGGACAGGTTCGACCGGTTTCCGTTGTCAAAATGATTGCTTTCTGGAATCACTGACATTCAATTTACCACCATGCACCCACCATCACTGCGTTTCTTTTTTTTTTCGAATTTGAAAATAGTGCGCCAGTGCTCGCTTAGCACACCGCCTTTCCTTCGCTTCAGGATAATTCGGCTACCTTGCCGACTACTGCTGCACGTTGCTCGACGCTACTGAAACAGAAGAAGTGTCGCTACTGCAGAAGCACCGGAGGAGGATTCGTTGTTCTTGAATACCCTTCCGCAGGTCCCCCCACTGGTCGTTTGCAGGTCTGCGCATCTCACTGCTGCACGTAGTTGTCAGTGAGGTCAACGAGGCCCTTCCTGCCCAGCGGCTGTTGCTTTCTTCATGGTCGCACTCATTTGTTTCTGTGGTCGGAGAAAGATTTTGTGGGGAGTAGCACTTTTCCTCGATTGCTCAGGCGAGCTTCTTCGTTCTCGCTTCGCTTCAACGCTTCGACTTGCCTGAAAAGACTGATTTGAGAGGTCAACAAGGTGCACAGCTGCTGCTGCACTTTCCCGGTATCCGTATTCCAGGGAGGAATTTGCACAAACCGTGGATGCGGCAAATAGCCAATAGAAACAGGTGCGCGAAATCCAGCTGCGCCGTCAGGAGCTCCACATCGATGGTTCACTCGATCTTGCGATATCCACCACTGTAACGAATTATAGCTTTTGCGTGGCAGAGCAGGTGCTTCGAGGCCGGATGGATCTTCGAATCCAACTGCTCACATTTTTGCTGAGAGCTTTGGAGTGCCTGGAGTTAGTTCGTGGGCTATGTGCAGTGCCTAGCATTGAGCTTAGTGAAATCTACACAGTGGTTACCCATTTTATGGCAGTCTCTTCCAGTAGTGTCAGTCCGCCAGATTCTTTGGTGCTGCACTGGGCACCGGGTGATATCTCCAGTACCGTCGAAGTTCCGGAGGTACCTGTGTCAGCTGGTTTCCAATCCCTTAACCACCTAACTGTTAAGCGCATCTTCGGCGCTAAAGTGATTACAGCCATATTCTTTTTTTCGCATGATGGTGCGCGCTTCACGGCTTTGTGTCTGGATTTGGATGCACCAGGAAGCGAACTTGTCTGGGTGCCTCCCAGCATACCACTCACTGCAGGTGCTGTAATTATTTTCAGATAAGTATTTTTATCATATTTTATAATGTTTGATGCTGGAAATTATAATGTTGTCATATGCTGGAAATTTGAAACCACGAGCATTCAAGAAACTCTGAATTGCATTTTAACGACCTCAGCCTCATTGTGCGCTCCTTCTTTCCTTCCTCATCACACAACTCCCACTTTCCTCGCTCAAAAGAATTTTTTTCTTTTTAGAAAGCATATTTGCTTTTCACCATTTCTCAGGAAAAGCATTTGTTGCTGGTCCTGCCGGAGTTTTTTTAACGGAAACCAGCTATCAGAAAATGTCTCGAATGCTACTTTCTTTCCTCTCGGATAACTGTAGCCAGCGAAAATGAGCCTCGCTGTTCCACCTCCTGCCCAGAAGTCTGGTGTGTTGCATGTCGCAGATGTCCTTGCTTCACTTGTTCATTCCTCTAGTTCCTCTCCCTTCCCCAAAAAGCTATAAATAGGCCACCGAACAAACAGAGATCGTCACACTGTCAGGGACTGGTGCAGTCATGAATTCTTGAGAAGTCGATTTGAGCACTCTGTGTATTTGCTCATACGTGCAACGCAGACGCATGCTAATAATACATTAGCATGCGCATTTTATGCTTACATTGCACAAAATGTCACAAATGAATGCAGTGGCTTCCTGCTCCCTTCGTTCCACTGCTCTCTCATTCCATTCCCCGCACCTTACCCGCACTTTGGAATTTGTGCTTATTTATAATCGTCAAAAATGCAGAATAACTGTACGAGGCTGTTTCGTGTACCAGACAAAGTCTGTTCGCGCCATCTTTAGCATGTTCGTCCCGGAATTTGATGGGGAATGAGGGTGACAGTGGTTAGCTCTGCTAGTGGCAGTGCGCTGTCAATCGCGCTCCTTCTGAGAGCCCTCAACTTGCGTAGGAAGGGCTTTCATTTTAATTTAATATTTATTTTTTTTTCTGTTTGTTCTGAGTGTTTTTCGCCTGTTAGTTACTGAATTAAAAACGCTATGTAAAAAAAAAAAGTACTGAAATTGGCAATCCTGCCGGAATATGCAGGAAAATGTGTCTTTTCCTCATTTCATAAAAACCTAGCAGCAAAATCCAAACAGACATTCCGTTACTTGGTAAATTTACGGTCGCAAAGAAAAATTGCCCTGTAATGATTGCCAACCCAGTTTGTACCAGGATTTCTGGTGCGACAAGGGGATTTTGTAAACTAAAATTTGCTACATTCTTTTGTGAAACCGCATGCGTGAAAGCTGCTGTTGCGGTTTTCGTGTTTTACAGAATCAAGCTTTATTGCCACAAAATTTCAGTTTTCTTGTTTACTTGAACGCCGAGGGGCGAAGATAGCGCTGAACATGTGTTATGTCTGTACGCGGGATAAATGCGCAAGCAAAAACTCATTTTACGCTCACTGGCCCCCTCATGAGCAGCAAACATCCTTAGAAAAATATTGCTTCCTTCTCATTCTGGTTACCGAGTTAACTGGGTTCAGAAATGTTCCAAACTAAACATTCACTTACACGTACAGGAGATTCAAGCGTATTTTAAAGCTGAATTTGACATATTTGAGTTGCAAATAGACATAGAATATTCTCGTAAAATTTCAGTTTCCTGGCTAACTGGTTTGGCGAATGGTCCGAACGCGCGACACAAACATACGCCGGAGCTCATTTTACACCTAAGTGCCCTTATACGGAAAACCAATTTTCTTGTTAAATGATGGTGCTCTAATCAGCTTGATTCCCGAGTTCGCATTTTACCAACAGTATTTCAATTTCAACTTTGACCAATCGGTGTCTGTGTGCTGGCGTACAGGTGCATACCGACTGAATTTGAAGTCTTTAACGCACATCAGAATACAGAACATCCTTTTATTCCAGCTTCATGTTTTGTCGAATTCCTGAAACCCTTCTCCGGCCAGCAAATTTATATGTTTTTTTTTTGGTGCCGTGCGTAAGACTTGGGTGTATGTAAATGATCTAATAGTTTTAAAACAGGAGGGTCGCACATGGGACTGGAACATGTTCCAGAAGTTTCAGCTTCCTGGGTTCTCTGGTTGTTGAATTGAAAGTGGGTTACAAAATGCGAACAAAAACACTCATGCATATGCACAGACAACTTCTTGCCGATATGCGTTTTTGAGCTTGCATAAATTTGCCAAAACGCATAAGAGTGAATATCTAAGGTGATAAAGTACTTTTGATAAAATCAGTATTTCTCCTTGCTTCATTGTTTTCCTCCCTTTCCCTCCCTCATCGTGTCGCTAGTTTTATTCAGTTTTCCCTCCAGAATTCTTGTTTTATTAAACGAAATATAAGTTTTCCCTTTCACATCTCTTTTTTAAATCTAATTCGAAAAGGACCTTATTTGCAGCCAGCCATCTTATGCAAATAACGTATTCCTATCACGTTTTACATCTTCGGTTTTTATGAAACATTCCTGCTTTCATCCATCGCACCAGCCTTCTTACTTCCGCCTTCTCTGACCTTCTTCTCTCTCGAAAAAGTGTTGGTTGGGCAGCGATAAGCGACGCTTGATGTCGAGGGAAAGTGTCTCCATTTGTGTAGAGAAGAGGAGGCGCTGTTTCTCCAGAAGGAAATAAATTGGTCTTTCCTCTTTTAACTTATCCTGAGTTTCTTTTCTGGAGTGTCTTTTTTAACTTATCCGCTGTTTTCATATTTATCAAGTAAGTGATTAATGTTTGTCATCAAAGTGTGAAGTAATGAATATAATAGTTCTTGGCGTGCACGGGGAGGGGGGGGGGGGGGGGGGGGG